TGTGTCCTCAACAGGTTTGTAGCAAGCTTGTTAACAAATTGTGACAATGCTGTTCCAACAACTTGTCAACAAAATGTCTCCTCAACAGGCTTGTAGCAAGCTTGCTAAAAAGTTGTGACAATGCTGTTCCAACAACTTGTCAACAAGATGTGTCCTCAACAGGTTTGTAGCAAGCTTGTTAACAAATTGTGACAATGCTGTTCCAACAACTTGTCAACAAAATGTCTCCTCAACAGGCTTGTAGCAAGCTTGCTAAAAAGTTGTGACAATGCTGTTCCAACAACTTGTCAACAAGATGTGTCCTCAACAGGTTTGTAGCAAGCTTGTTAACAAATTGTGACAATGCTGTTCCAACAACTTGTCAACAAAATGTCTCCTCAACAGGCTTGTAGCAAGCTTGCTAAAAAGTTGTGACAATGCTGTTCCAACAACTTGTCAACAAGATGTGTCCTCAACAGGTTTGTAGCAAGCTTGTTAACAAATTGTGACAATGCTGTTCCAACAACTTGTCAACAAAATGTCTCCTCAACAGGCTTGTAGCAAGCTTGCTAAAAAGTTGTGACAATGCTGTTCCAACAACTTGTCAACAAGATGTGTCCTCAACAGGTTTGTAGCAAGCTTGTTAACAAATTGTGACAATGCTGTTCCAACAACTTGTCAACAAAATGTCTCCTCAACAGGTTTGTAGCAAGCTTGTTAACAAGTTGTTACAATGCTCTTCCAACAACTTGTCAACAAGATATATCCTCAACAGGCTTGTAGAAAGCTTGTTAACAAGTTGTGACAATGCTGTTCCAACAACTTGTCAACAAGATGACTTTGCAATAGGTTTGTAGCAACCTTGTTAACAAAGTTATGACAATGCTGTTCCAACAACTTGTCAACACGATGTATCCTCCACAGGCTTGTAGCAAGCTTGTTAACAAGTTGCGACAATACTGTTGCAACAACCTGTCAACAAGATGTATCCTCAACAGGTTTGAAGCAAGCTTGTTAACAAGTTGTGACAATGCTGTTCCAACAACTTGTCAACAAAAAGTATCCTCAAGGGGCTTGTAGCAAGCTTGTTAACAAGATGTGACAATGCTGTTCCAACAAGCTTGTTAACACGTTGTGACAATGCTGTTCCAACAACTTGTCAACAAGATGTCTCCTCAACAGGTTTGTAGCAAGTTAGTTAACAAGTTGTCACAATGCTGTTCCAACAACTTGTCAACAAGATTTTTCCCAAGAGGTTTGTAGCAAGCTTGTTAACAAGTTGTGACAATGCTGTTCCAACAACTTGTCAACAAGACGTATCCTCAACGGCCTTGTAGCAAGCTTGTTAACAGGTTGTGACAGTGCTGCTCCAACAACTTTTCAACAAGATATATATATCCTCAACAGCCTTGTAGCAAGCTTGTTAACAAGTTCTGACAACGCTGTTCCAACAACTTGTCAACAAGATGTATCCTCAACGCGCCTGTAGCAAGCTTGTTAACAAGTTGTCACAATGCTGTTCCAACAACTTCTCAACAAGATGACTCCTCAAGGGGCTTGTAGGCCTTGTAGCAACCTTGTTAAATAGTTGTGACAATGCTGTTCCAACAACTTGTCAACAAGATGTCTCCTCAACAGGTTTGTTGCAAGCTTGTTAACAAGTTGTTACAATGCTGTCCCAACAACTTGTCAACAAGATGACTCCTCAATGGGCTTGTAGCAAGCTTGTTAACAAGTTCTAACAATGCTGTTCGAACAACTTGTCAACAAGAAGTATCCTCAATGGGCTTGTAGCAAGCTTGTTACATGCAACAAGTTGTGACAATGCTGTTCCAACAACTTGTCAACAAGATGTCTCCTCAACAGGTTTGTTGCAAGCTTGTTAACAAGTTGTTACAATGCTGTTCCAACAACTTGTACAACAAGATTTTTCACAACAGGTTTGTAGCAAGCTTGTTAGCAAGTTGTGACAATGCTGTTCCAACAACCTGTCCACAAGATGTATCCTCAACAGGCTTGTAGCAAGCTTGTTAACAAGTTCTGACAATGTTGTTCCAACAACTTGTCAACAAGATGACTCTTCAATGGGCTTGTAGCAAGCTTGTTAACAAGTTCTAACAATGCTGTTCGAACAACTTGTCAACAAGAAGTATCCTCAACGGGCTTGTAGCAAGCTTGTTACATGCAACAAGTTGTGACAATGCTGTTCCAACAACTTGTCAACAAGATGTATCCTCAACAGGTTTGTAGCAAGCTTATTAACAAGTTGTGAAAATGCTGTTCCAACAACTTGTCAACAAAATGTCTCCTCAACAGGTTTGTAGCAAGCTTGTTAACAAGTTGTTACAATAATCTTCCAACAACTTGTCAACAAGATTTTTCACAACAGGTTTGCGGAAAGCTCGTTAACAGTTGTGACAATGCTGTTCCAACAACTTGTCAACAAGATGGATCCTCAACAGGCTTGTAACAAGTTGTGACAATGTTGTTCCAACAACTTGTCAACAATTAAGATGTGTTTGCAATACTGTAGATTTGTAGCAGCTTGTTAACAAGTTGTGACAATTCATTTTCTCAGGAAGCAATCTTGTAATATCAAAAAATTTTAAGGCCATCAATTTAAGCCCCCCATTTTCGGCAGCCCTGTACTAGAGTTAAGGGTAAAATATTCTAAATTTTTGGCAACTAAACTCACTTAATGGAATGCTGAAGTACACAGGTCATAGCAATTAAAATTTGTGTTCTTTGTTCTGAGTTTTTATAATGTAGTGTTCTATCGAATAATTTGCACAGATTTTATTATTATTCATTGCCCACATAAACTAGCTATAGGTAATCAAGCAATCATTGCACAATACCTGGCATATCATCAGGCCCTTCCATTTGGTGTTTATATGGTGCATCTTCTGGTGCTAGTCTATTTAACATCATTTCCATATCATCTCGGACTGTGGTATCCCAGCATTCATTAAGACTTAAACTTGCTGACGTGTGCTGTAAACACAAGTTGGCAAGACCAATCTTATATCCAGTCAGTTGCGGTAGTTTCTGTATTTCCTCTGTGATGTTGTGTATACCCCTTGATTTTGCCTTGATCGTCACAATGGTCTGATTCCAGACGGTCTCACTCATATTACGTACAGAGTGACTCGATCTCTATAACATTACAATATGCTATAATCCAGTCATGTAACTCATTGAGGAAGTCAGTGACTCGATTTCATATCTGCTGCGCGATACAAACTTTCCACACTGGACCTACTTAGCTTTACAAACAAATGTGATTTGAGGTTTGCCCTTTGCAGTTTATAGTTGTGTGGCATAAACATCTAACCTCTAGTCTCTATTATTGTACACTTGACTGCATATTGCATATTTGACATATCACAAATTTCAAATAATTTTTTATTTATAATTGTATTTATCCACTGATATACCCACATCACTATTTAAACTAGTGTGTTATAACAAATAACACAAATAACATTATAAAATTATATAAATGTATATATTGTTAGAAAGGTTTTATAGCCAAAAGGCTAGCCTGATTTTACAGCCAATTAAACGCTATATATGTGCATAACTGCATATATATTGATAAAATATGTGCCATATAAAGATGAAGGTACCTTTGGTACTATGTCAATATATCATGGAATAAACATTTTCTATTTAAAAGAATGTTTATAACATAAAGTACAAATTCAAGTAAAAACCTTACCAATAACAAACTTTTTAAAGGAACTTTCTGAAACGAAATTCTGCACCATAAAAAAGGAACATTTGATATCAATTGATTCAATTCTGATCAGATTGAAATTGAATTGAGCCAGAAGACATACTGTATCTGGTCTCCGGACAATACTTCATGTTAGTCTCGTCCGCAGGGCCATTCCTCAAAATTCCTTCGATGCGCGGGCGATTAGGCCTAGCTAGGATTCGAAATTGATTACCTTCGATCACCCCAACCTAAAGATATGATAACCTCTCCAAAACTAGCAAACAGTATCGCCAATTAGTAAGGTCGCCATTTTTTATCTATAGTTTACTGTATTCTGTAAAGGAATTGCGTCTAGGGCGCCCGTAAAAATACGTTTTTCGCCTTAATTGCGTTCAAGAAGTATGTAACCTCAATTTTTGTATTAATTTAATATGTAAAAAATATGGATTTTCACTTTTTACAAAAATATACAAAATTTACAAGTATCATTCCTTCTTCATATATTTCATTAAAAGGCAACGACGATGGTGCTCAGATATTCAGTTTGGTTGGCTTGACAAACATTCCCTTGGTTTCCCTTGGTGAATGTATTGTTTGTTCAGTTGTCCTTATTCGTGCATCATGGTAATATATCTTCCGGACGGTTGGCTTGGCGAAACAACATTTTCTGATAAATGTGGTGTTTTACTGTTTTCAGCTTGGCATGCCGTATGTATCCAATTTACTTCAGAGGTTGTACAGACACAAACTTGGGAACCCGGTTCCAACTGTGAATTGCATTGTGTTCTTTGCAATTCAGTTCGCTATTGCAGGGAAAGATGATTATCAACCCCACCCTCCTAACGCACCTTTAATTAAAATGTAATACGAAAGTTGGTATTGTCCCCTTTCTCAAAATTACATCTCCTCCATCCATCTTCTACCAACCAATTTTTTGGGATTTTCTCCCTCCGACCAAGTAAATCTTCCGTGTTATAGTAAACAGCAAGTTTTCGAAGACGTCTTTGATGTCTTGTTTTTCTTTGAGTCGCGAAGAGATGTTTTACTCCCATTAGAAGGAACTACATTTACTACAACTACATTGTCGTTGTGAGGAGAGGGAGATTTTGTCTCAGATACAATATTGTTCTCTTTGATATTGTTGTTGTTGTTGTTGTTATGATGTGTCGGCTCTTCCAAAAGTTCTGCACTTTCTGTGGCATGGTTATTGTTGTTATTTTCAGGTTTTTGCTCAAGTTGCGAACTCGAGTTGTTAGAATCAAAGTCATTACTCATTGAATCTATATTGAAGAAAGTGTTTAAGGTTTTGAAATGTCATTCTGAAACTCAAATATAATTCAGAAGTTTTCGCCCTACAAAACCTAAGGCAATGTCTAGTTAATCATTTATTCAATATTACATCGTATTCTTTATACAGAGTGTACAAAATACGAAGTCTCTCTTTTCAGCCATCGAGATAGAAATCTCGAGTAATTTTCAAATAATGTACGCCCCCCCCCCCCCTAACCCAATCATAATAACTGGGGATTGATGTATATGTTGCAGTTCTTACATTTTACCTTCTACGTTGAGTGTGACATCATCTGCCAAGGTTTGCCAGTTTTGACGATTGCTCGTGACACCATCCAGTAATGGTGACAGATTTGCATCCACTTCCGTCATGAGCTATAACATAAATATAGATTGGTCATAAAACACCAAAACAATGGACAATTCCCACTATAGACTAATTTTAAAACTTGGCAAGGAGATGCAAATAAATCACCACAGCCAGAAACAACATACTAAAATGAGTACAATAATTGCAACGTTTGGTTGCGAAATGTTGTAAAACGCGGAAAAAATAGCCTTGCAAAGTTCGCAACTTTTGTATACTTTTGTATTACGTGCGGAAATTTCTACCACATTTGGGCCGAAAATGTAACTTATTGGATTGCATTCATTTACTTAAACGAAGGTGGCGAGCGAAGAAAATAGTTTTGAAGAGATTCAACAATAGGTCGACAACGAAATCACAGAAGAATGCAACAGTATCTTCTTGAACTTATTGTCTGACCTTGTAAATTGGTAAACATATGGCGTCTATGAATCCAACTTGCATTTTAGGGAGGTCATCTTTCTTCTTCCTGTCCATCATTGGCTTAAAAATAGAGAATGACAAACATAGCGAGTCTTTTTAGTAAGTCTAACTATAAGTACGGTGGAAGAAACTGCATAGCTCGAAATCAGTAGTGGTTGTATAAAACATTTTTAGGCTCTTTAATTTCTCGGCTAGCCAAACACAACGTTTTTGCAACTTTCTCATCCCGAAAGGATGTGACAAGGATTAGCATTAGGATTAAGGTTACTGTTCAGGACTGTGAATTCCTCGGATTAGGGTAACATTAAAATAAAAAAACGTCAACATTTGGCCTTCAGTTTCATAGAAATACTCACCATTGGTTCACTTTTTAGTTCATCTCTTTCAATATCTCCTTGTTCAAAGAACTCACTCGCGACCAATTTAGCGACCTGAAATGTGAGATGATTTGAAAATTAAAATATTTTTATGAATGTTATTTTCAAATTTCTTTTGTTTCGCCTTGGAGGTCGGGCTTACGCTGCTGTTTATTTTACGCGACGCCAAAGGACTTGAAACGAGCAATAAATCTTATATATATACTGTCTTTAATAATCTCTTTTTTCTTTTGTCTTCGTTGGTTCCCAGGACTTCTCGGCGAACGAGGATGCCCCAAGGGCTCTGGATACGAGAATGGAGGATTCCCAAAAAAGTATTTCTATTTGACAACTAATCCCAGTCCTTTTGCGTGTTACCTCATTATCCTGTCATTAATTATTAGTTGCATAATATTACTTACAGTTTGTTGTATGGGCCAAGGTTTGGTGATTGCGGAGACATCGCACGCTGTCATCATCATTGCCCTACAACGAATGACAAACAAGATCACTTTTAACATATATCAAAAATATATACACAATTATACGTTGGGCAACGTAAAGCTGGAGTAATACGAGCAACAAAATTGCTGCAACTTGCAACAAAATCTGATTTCAACGCATGTTAAGTAGAAATGTCGACACATGTTGCCTCGTGATTTGTAATTTATGTGTAAACATTTTCAATTAACATGTGTTGAAATCAGATTTTGTTGCAAATTGCAGCAATTTTGTTGCTCGTTGTGACAGATTACACGGGTAAAAATTGATCAGGTTGTTCAAACAGTAGCGAACAATGTTGTGCTGCACCCCGTGAACAATATTGTTAACAAGTTGTTCCGAGTTGTTCAATCATCAATATTGTTGCAAGTTGATAACATGATTGTCAACAAGTTGCAACAACGTTGATGGTTCAACAACATTGTTAACAATATTGTTCACGGGGTGCAGCACAACATTGTTCGCTCCTGTTGTGAACAACTTGCATCAACATGATGATTTTTACGCGTGTACGCAACATTACTTTAAATTTATTTGTTATCGTAATACTTCATGTAATAATATTAGAAATATATAAAGTTTCAAACATGGCGCCCAACGTCACGGCAACGTGCCCTTTAGTTTATCGAAAAAGTTATGTTTTAGCGCTATGACCGATCAATTAGAAAGGAAAAAGGCTACCCGTCGTGGGAACAGAGCAGTTATAACGAAATACAGTAACGAAGCGAAGGAATTATTGGCAAATGGAGAAAATATCGACGAAAATACGAAGGATCGTTTAAACACGTTGCACGAACTTCTTGAGGAGAAATTACAAGTGGTAAAGAAATTCGACGAAGAAATCTTACAGTTATGCGAAGTTAAAGAAATAGAAAACGAGATTGAAGTATCCGAGGAATTAAATTCACGAGTTCTTGATGTTAAAAAACAAATATCCAAGTTTTTTGCGAAGAAAATCGACGATACGGGAAAAGTACCTATTCACGATATATCTATACCTGGTCAAAATACCCCGCAAGTAGAAATAACAGAGGTAGGTGAAATTTCCTCTGAAGTTAATGTCAATAATGAAACAATAAACGAACAGGACAATGTTAATTCAACCCAAGATCCTACACCAAGTAACCCAACCTTAATTCACCCAGACCCTAGTAGTCCAACAACCAGTCAATCAAGTGGAAATTACGTCATAGGTTATGGTGCAAAAACGAAGCTTCCAAAGTTAACTTTACCCCGGTTCAGAGGAGATATTACTGAATTTCAACCATTTTGGGATAGTTTTGAAAATGCTGTCCACAAGAATACCAGTTTGTCAAGCATTGACAAATTTAATTACTTATATTCCTTGTTGGAGGGTTCAGCATTACTGGTTATTAAGGGATTGGCTTTGACGGAAGAAAACTACAAGGTTGCAATCGACATTCTTAAACAACGTTATGGCAATACTCAAGTTATCATATCCGCCCATATGGATGAGATGTTAAAACTTCCCGATTGTTCGACTGGAAGGGTACGCGATCTTCGAAGAGTGTATGATAAAATTAATGTTAACGTAAGAGGGCTTGAGGCACTTGGAGTAAAATCGGAACAATATGGTAGTCTACTCATTCCAGTAATCATGGCAAAACTACCACCCGAGTTACGAATCCATGTTGCAAGAAAGACTGCCAGTGAACTTTGGAAAATTGACGATATTCTAGACATTATTCGAAAGGAAGTGGAAGCACGGGAGATCAGTGAGAGTGTTCGTACAAACAATTCTAGTTTTAATGACATTCGCAAGCAAAATGAAGTATGGAAACAAAATCGACAGCGGAATTACAGTTCGTCTGCGGCAAGTCTATTCGTTAAAGATGGGAAAAATGAGCGAAAGATAAAATGTGTCTATTGTGGACAATATCATTACTCAGCATCGTGCGAACATGTGAAAGATGTGAATGATCGAAAGGGCATTTTAAGAGATCAGAAACGTTGCTATTTATGTTTGCAAGGTGGTCATTGTGCACATGAATGTGAAAATGGCAGGCTCTGTCGTTGGTGCAATGGCAAACACCATCAATCTATTTGTACTAAAGCTACCAAAACATTTCGAAAGATCAATCCTGAAGAAACAACAAAACCAGATGCGAAAGAGGAGAAAAAGGTAACGCAGAACCTCACAACAACTACAACATCGAACGGCTCATCAAAGGTGCTTTTGCAAACTGCCACGACATATGCTTATTCTCAACATAGCAACAGAGCTATTCCTGTTCGAGTGCTTTTAGACAGTGGTAGTCAAAGATCATACGCAACCAATCATCTGAAGAAACGACTTGGCCTTCAACCAGTAAAGAAAGAAACGCTTAACTTGAACACATTTGGGCAGGATAAATTCACAAAACAGAAATGTGATGTTGTTAGTTTAAACCTGAAAGGCAAAGAAGGCAAAGATATCGAAATTTCAGCTCTTTGTTTTGAGAAAATCTGTTCACCTCTTCCTACCAAGATTGAGCTCGATAAATATCCGTTTTTGATGGGATTGGATCTTGCTGATTCCTCTCTCGCCGAGAACAGTCACGATGAAATCGACATCTTGATAGGATCTGATTATTACTACGACATTGTAATTGGGGAAGTTGTAAGAGGAGAAGGTGGTCCAGTGGCTGTCAACAGCAAATTTGGATGGGTTCTCTCTGGGCCATCGAGAGACATTGGAAAAAATAACAATGCAACATTATCGCACTTAGTAATCGAACGAGAAGAACCTGCAACATATCTATTGCCCAGCAGCATCAAACGAGATGATAACCTGACAGATAGTCTTCAAAGATTCTGGGAGACCGAATCGATTGGTATCAAGAATGATACGTTTAGTGAAACCCAGACAACGGAATTTCTACCCGAGATACATTTTGATAAAGGCGAAGGAAAATATGAAGTTAATCTGCCTTGGAAACAGGACTGTTTTCCAAAGTCAACAGGATATGGTATGTGTGTCAACAGATTGCGACAACTGCATTCACGTCTGAAGAAAGACAATACTCTTCTTGAAGAATATAATCAAGTCATTCAGCAGCAAATAAATAGTGGTATCATCGAATCAGTACCGGAAGAAGACGACAGCGAGGGTTACTACTTACCGCATCATGGAGTGTTGAAGTCCGAGAGAGAGACTACAAAACTACGAGTGGTTTTCGATGGATCAGCAAGACCGGATATAGACAGTCCATCCATAAATGAATGCTTACAAAAGGGTCCCAACCTTATACCGCCATTATTTGATACGATAATAAAATTCAGAAGTTATCCAGTGGGGATTGTTTCTGATATTGAAAAGGCCTTTCATCAGGTGCAGATTAGTCCATCCGATCGTTGTATGCTTAGGTTCCTTTGGTTCGATGACATTCGAAAGGACAATCCCACTATTAAAAGATTCCAATTCCGACGCCTTGTATTCGGCTTAACACCGAGTCCAGCAATTTTGTCCACCGTGATACAAAATCATTTATCACAACATGACGAAAAAGGTTCTGTTGTACCCCAGTTGTTAAAAGAATCGCTCTACGTTGACGACTTCGCAGGAGGAGCTGATAATGATCAAGAAGCATTGGACATTTACGATAAATCTCAAGATGTAATGAAGAAGGGTGGATTTGTTTTGCGTAAATGGAATTCGAATTCCAAGGTTTTACAAGATCGAATTGAGAAAGATACATTGTCAAACGGAACACAAACGACATCAAGTTCAGTTTTCGAAAGTGAAAAAGAGATTGATTCAAAACAACATAGCAAGGAAATTACGCCTGTCAATATATTAGGATCTAACTGGAACGTTAAAACTGACAAATTCCAATTCGGTGTAAAGGAACTGGTTGAATATACCAAAACACTACCCGCTACAAAGAGATCTGTATTAAAGGCTTCAGCAAAGATTTTTGACCCAATTGGAATACTTAGTCCATTTACAGTCAATCTTAAGATCTTATTCCAGTTGCTTTGCTGTGATCGCGTAGATTGGGATGAGAAACTCGATGAAAATTCATTAGCATGTTGGAACTCGCTGTTACAAGGATTAGAGTCAATCAATTCAATTGAAGTACCAAGATGCTACTTCAGTCGTTTCAATGTACCAATAACGAGCCAGCAAATCCATGGGTTTGGTGATGCCTCTGGAAAGGCATACGCAGCGGTAGTTTATCTGCGAACAGAGTATGAAGACCATCATGTTGAAACCAACATCATAGCATCCAAGACTAGAGTCGCTCCGATACGAAAGCAGTCTATTCCTAGGTTGGAACTTCTGGAGCTACTATCCTTGCTCGATTGGTTAGCGCGATTAGCAAGATCCTTTGGTCTCGATTAGTAAATCCGAAGATATTCATGTGGACTGATTCGTTTACCGTACTTTGTTGGATACAAAATGATAAACCGTGGAAACAGTACATACAGAGAAGAGTCGACGAAATTCGAAAACTCGTTGGAGAGGATAAATGGATGTTCTGCCCAGGAGAATTTAACATTGCAGACTTACCTTCGCGAGGTTGTAGTGGAGCAGCACTAGTTAAAAACGACGAATGGTTCCATGGTCCTAAATTCCTGAAGTTATCAGAAGAAAACTGGCCGAAACCTCCTCGATGTAATGGAACAGAAAGTGAAATCGCATTATCGGAAACGGTGAAATCAGTCAACGAGTCAACAACTCATTCCCTTACAGTCTTAGAGAAGAAACATAACACAGTTAATGTCGGCAGGGTGATGGATTGTCATCGATATAGCTCGAAAACACGTTTATTACGAGTGACGGCTTACGTATTTAGGTTCGTGAGGAAGATTAAAGGACAAACCGTAGATAAAACGTTAGAACTATCAGCAGACGAACTGATCGAAGCCGAACAGATATGGATAAAGGATATTCAGAGCAATATGTTTCCCGAAGAAGTTAAACAATTAGTTAATCGTACGAAAACTTCCAGCTCAAGGCTTGATCAACTACGCTTATTTCTGGACGAAAA